CCATAAAGCTGAGAGCATAGTGAAGTTGAGTTTCAAGAAAAGAGTATTCGTTGACTTTGGTTTAACAGCTCTGGTCATCTGTAAGTGTGGTTGTGTAGTGCAAACACAACCAAGGGCAGTCATGTATTTGTGAGGCATCGCTGGCAAAGGAACCTTCTGAATCAGCTCCCAGTTTGTGCCATGGGGTTGGATGGCTGCAAGGGGCAGCTCACGTCCATCAGATTGAGACACTAGGGCATCCTGGTGCACACTGCTGAGGCAAAGGGAGAAAGCTGTTAAGAGGTGAGCTGGTTGTGAGTAAGTACAGAGGCTGAAACCTGGGTAAAGGCTGGTAAATGTGGTAGCAGCTTTATTTTCTGTTGCTTTGTCTTGTTCCCGCTGTGTCTTTAGAAATGCTTTTGTCACCAGGTATGTCTCAATATAGTAAAATGCTTCCTCCATATAAAATAAATAATCTTTTTTTGAGTTGCACATTGCGTTTTGTAAATTCCTAGAAAGCAGGAAAATATTTCCAAGAAGTGAATTAGTAGCAATTCCTACCCTGACAGAGACTCCGTAAATGCTGTTTGTTTCTATGCTTCATAGAGCTTTTACACCAGAAACGTGGTTTAGGAGTGGTATTTGCATTGATTTTTTTTTTCTGTAGAAGTTTTTAAATTTATTGAATATATCATACATACACATTTTTTGGAGTCCTGTGGAAGGATTTGCTCCATGCTGAGTTATTTGTAGTGTCAGATGCAGACCTTCTGTATAGAGATTGTTTGTAGTTACTCCAGACTCATAGCAGTGGACCAAGATTACTGCTTTCAGCTTCAGTAAGGATGGATTATCTCTGGTGAGAATTAGAGTGGAGAACAGACAGGTCATGCAAGGAAAAATGCTAGACACAGTCTGGGACGGAAAGGTCAGTCAGGGAGATGGGAAGGAAACATCTCCTGTGATGTCTTCATTCCCAGTGAGTTACACCCTTCTGCCACTCCAGATGGAACAATTAAATACAACTTCGGGGTTGCACCTCATTGTGCTGACCACTGTTTAACATGTTTTTTAAATATGTGTTTTCTTTTCATGCAGAAAAAGAAGTCTAAGCAGCTCAACAGTTTGTAATTTACAGGCTTAAGCAGTCCTTTAATTTCAGGTTTCGTTTCCATGAATAAAATCCCTTGCTTCACTAGAAATAATTTGAAGAGGGAAAATTCATTCAGTCTATTGAAGTTATACATTAATCATTTTTCTTTTGATAAGGCACAGGATGTGAAATCTTAGCAACATGTTACTGAGCCTTAGTAGATAGAAGGGTAGGCATTTATTTGCACTGAAAATTAGAAAAAAAATATGCTCTTTAAATACACAAGAAGTCAACCCTTTTAAGAAGAAGAGGAGATGGTGAGATGCTTCCCAGTCTGCACCTTTCTCTGTGCTAGCCGAGGTTGATGTGATGGGTTTGGCTGGCGCCTTGCTGTTGATTTTGTCATCGTCTCTGTGCCTGTGAGATTGCTGCTGAAACTCGTGCTGGTGGTCTTTCTCCTGCCTGCTTTGACCGTCTTATCTCAGTGCATGCCATTGTGTGACTGGGACCTATGGACCCCAAGCCAGTGAGCTCTATGGAAGGTCAGCGTTGTGCTGTTGAGTCCCATCTTCTGTCCAAGATGATTTTGTGTTTTTTCCCCTCTGTTTTGTGGCAAAAGGAGACCCCAGTCAACATGTCCCCAGGGCCTCCTGAATCCTTGTCTCTGCCTGTAAGAGCCTGTGCCTTCCCAGGCCAGGGAAACACTTGCTTCTCCTGTACTCAGATATGAGGATGGGGTCTTTTTGGGTTTTGAGCTTGGCCACCTTGTTCTGCACAACTGTAATGGAAGACTTTTCCATGAATTAGGGAAAGCATACTCATAATTCACTTCTCCAAAGGGAACGAGGTGAGGTCTTTATATTTTAAATTTTTGTTTTAACTTTGTTACAGTGTTAACAGAACTATTGGTGTGTACTGGGAAGTCAGGGTGCTCTCTTCCTAACATGTGCTGCCCTTGGTGTGTCAGTTTATTTGCTTTGCCATGTGCCTCCAAGGTCTGTCCTTACAGAGCAGGCTGCTAAATTGCCAAGGTGCACAGCACAGTCACGTCTCTGGTGTGATGAGGTGGTTTGGTCCTTGAGCTCTGATCTCTACAGCAGTCCCTTACAACTCCTCTGTGATCACTGTGGCATGTGTAATTGAGATTCATAACCTGCTTTTTTTTTATTATTTATTTCTGGGGGAATGCCAGTAGGAACCAGTGGTCCCACAGCTCCCTGAAACCAAGTCTTTCAAGCTGAAGCATTTCATGGACAGCCTGCATGGTGCTAGGATCCGTTCAGTGGTTGAATGCCCTCCTTCAGCTGCTTTTGTCTCCTGGCAGCAGGAAGGCCTGATTCTTCTCCCCTTTCCCTTTTGGTTTATGTTGTGAATGTAAACAGTTGTTGACAAGTTCTCCTTTGGTCAAAATACCTTTTCCAGTCTGACCTGGGACCTCTCAGTGGTACAAAATCGGCATTATGGTGTGAGGAGGCAAGGCAAGTCTTGTGCAGCTGAGGGAGAAGAAGATGGTTCTGGGGGAACAGGCATCATCTTCCTGCTGTAGACCAAGATGTTCCCCACTTACTCTTTTTAACCTTACCTTATTTTTTTGTCATCCCAGTATAAATTTCTCAGATCCTGTTAATAACTAGGTTATTAGATTACTGAATTACCTTAATTAGTGTTCTACTTTAATTAGCGTTCTCAACAATTGGTTAAAAAAGCTTCATATCAACATATCCACAGTCTGAAATACTGACTCTGTTTTTTCCCTCAATATTTGCAAAAGAGGAATGGCCTTGCAACGTTGCCAAGAATAGAGGAAAAATGCCAACTATCACAAAGCCCCTGATTGAGTCTCATGTTGAATATCTGCCTTCTTTTATTTTACAATAAGAAAAAGAAATTTAGATTGGCACTTCAGCCACCTTTGCATTTTATCTCCCATTAGCAAAGGACACATGCCAGGTTTTTCCGTTTCTCAGCTCCACGCAGCGTATCAAGCTGGGCAGGGCAGTATTCAAGGTGGGATGCAAATGCATTGGACTGCATGAGCTTTAACAGTCAGCTCATTGACTTTGAGAATTTGACTGTCTCCATGTCTAAATAGATCTACATTTGGGGATTTTAGCATGAGTTCACTTTTTTTTTTTACATTAGAAGTATTTTCTCCATCTCTCCCCCATCATTGTATAATAGGTAAGAGATCTGTTAGCAGTTTTTTTTGGCTTTTGACAAGCTGCTGCTTCTTTCAGAAACTATGAGGTGTAGCACGGAGGGGTATATGCCCTTTTTTCACTGAAAGTTAATGTATTGCATAGAAATCTTTTCTAGACGTATGAGAAATCCACATTCAGGAGCCCTGGGTTAACTGGTGTGGCTTTTGAAGTCCTCAGGGGAACTAATCAAGCCTTCCATTGTGTTTCCTTAATTCAGGAGAAAAAAATAATCCTTTAGCTGTCTCATTAATAAATCTTATAAATTCTTAATATCTTTCATTCCTGTAAGAAATGAGTTGTAGAAATCTAACGTAGCTTTTATTGACGCTCGTACTCAGTTCTGTGTCCATTTCTGTGTGTACACCTCCAGACATGCATCTGGTGGGGCCGTAATTACGTTACCTGCAGAAGGACGTTGCTGATGTTGGTCTTTCTGCTGCATGAACAATGATGCTGTAAACAGTAAAATAGGTTTCTCTATTAATCGTGTCAAATACCATTGTGCTGAGCTGACAATGAAGCAGGCCAAATGACTGCAAACCGGACGCACACTCCTGCTGCCGAAGGAAGCGAGGCTGGCCAGCACAGGGGTGTTTCAATGCCCATTTTAGAAGCTGTTAAACCTATTCTGGTGATTCTGGGTTAGAAATTGGTAATTCCTGCACTGACTCGTGGCTTCAGAAGGTGAGTTGGGTGTGGGTGGCTTCTTGCCAAGTGTGCTTGAGGTAAACTGGATTGTTAACCTTAAACAATGGAAATTTATGAATCATTTAAGAAATATAAGCAATTAAGTCTACTGATTTAACTATAGAATTGAGTAATACACCATTAGTGATTGTGCATTGTTAATTTTGACTGTATAATTAAACTCTGAGATATATTTAGCTGTCGCTGAGCTATAGACTTTACACAGATTATAAGTGCACAGGTATGAATTGATTTTGCAGCACTGTAGAAACCGATGTATGAAGTTGGAAATTTAGGACGGAGTCACTTTGATTAAAAATGTAGAGCTGAAGCTGTTTGCAGGAGACTCCCTTACATCCTACCCAAAGTTGGGCAAGTAGAGTACTTCAGACAAACAGTTTTCTGGAAATGTAGTTTTCTGGAAATGTTTGCTTTTCTCCGTTGTTTGTGAAGGGAGCCAAGGATTGCGAGGTCAGACTTAGAAGTCTGTTGTTGGTTATTTTTAGAGTTTGGTCAAATGCAGAAGCAGCTGTAGTGTAACCGTCGCTGCCCTCATTTGGGATTTTCTGCATAATATGGTAGAGTGGGGCGGGTGTTGGGTTTGTGCTCCGGTCTGCATTGGGATGAAGGAGGTGCCTCAGCTGGAGGGGTGTTTTTGGCTCTTCAGTGTAAGCACAGGGTGCGTTTCATGCTGATGGCTAAGACACGGTGCCCAGGTGAGGCGGGGCCATCCAGCAGCATGCCAGCACGGGAGTGAAAGTGCACGGCTCGCTGCTGGTGGGAGCAGCCAGGAGCTGCCTCTTCCACCTCAGCTGCACAGTTTGCAGCTTGGTTTAGGAGAATCTTAGCATGGCATTTGTGTGATGCCAGGCTGAGTAGCATAGGATGTGATACGGCTGGATGCATTGACTTGTTTCTTCCCAATATTTTGGGCATGGTGTGGGGAGCCGCTCCATGGCCAGAGCACTGAGCTGCCTGCGTGCTCTCATGATTCATAATGTGCAGCAGCCATTGCTTTGCAGTGCTCTGTAAGGACAGTCGTGGCAGTCGATTTACTAACTTCAAAATACTTGGTCCTGTTCAATACCAATTAGTAATAAATTTGATGTTCTGGTTAAGTGCCATAAGAGGCTACTGACTGAATAACCTGTACCAGCTAACAGCTGACTGATTTCTTCCTTGCCTGGCTACCTTGCTAACCACGGACCCAGACCTCTCATCAGGCAGTGATACCCATGTAAAGTCCTCACCACGTCAGTGTTTGTCATGCTACTAATGTTGATGGCAGAATACAAAAAGTTGAAGTAATGCAGGGCTTTCTTTATGCTGAATAAAGCAGCCATGGTTATATTAACATATGACTTCTTGCAACTTGTAGGGGAATTCACTTGTAGTAGCCCCTTCGCCTATACTTGTAATGTAGGCTGACATCAGTTGTAAAAATGCAGATGTCACAGTGCTGAGACTGGTGACATCACATGGGAGCAAGCGGTAGGAAGACAGCAACTGGAACAAAGCAGCTGGCTGCATGTAAGTATTTAACACTGGAGTGCTTCAGCTTTTTGGTTTTACAACTGAAGACAACCGGTTTAAATGTCTTCCATCTTCTCAAAAGAAGCAACTTAAAGTTATATATAACATGTTATAACTCAAGTGTAATATAACATGCTGACTCCAGTCAGTCCTCTTGTGATTTTGGTTATTTCTTCTCCTTACCTGGCCTTACTGCTCTGCCACCCAGCTTGCAGTGCTTTTGTCATAGTGCTCTCAGGTGGAATATTCTGCCATGGGTGATTAACACCTCCCTTCTGCATTTGGAGATTGGAGAGACAGCATTTCTTGAAGTACAGAGCTAAGGAGCTATGTGGGATGCATGATGCCAGCAAGTTCCCTGACCTCAGACAAAAGCTTGACTTGTTAGGACAAATGGGCCTTTGCTCCAGAGTCCGGTCTCTGAAAATGGCCTGTAGCAGTTGGGTAGGTTTTCTTTAAAAGAAAAGGGAAAAAAAAAAGTGTGTGTATAAATCTGGATAGATGGGAGCTCTGCATTTCTCTTCCTTTCATGCACTTGTCACACTTCCAACAATTTTCAATTCAGGAGTTTCTGCCATCCTCGTGCTTGATAGCCCTTCTGTTAGACACACTCTTCTTCCCTGAATGCGTCTTAAGAGCTTTAGAGTTGCTGCACAGAGGTGAAGAAATTACTTAATTACTTTCTGAAGTAAGACTGAGAGCTCTGATATGTTGGCTGCCAAGTCTTGGGAAGGATAGCAAGTACTGTCCGTCTTTGCTTGTCCAATCTCTACTATCTGTTTTTCAGACCTGCAAAGGCTAATAGTTATGCAGGCACTCTGTGCCACATGTTGTTGTGTGTGTTTTTTCAGCTGCCAACATGTTGATAGGAATTCATATTTATTGCCATAGAATTATCTCAGCTTAGACTGAGAGAAATTGGATCAATCACTGCCTAGAAAACAGCTGTCTGTTTGCATGTTGAAGGTGTGTGGATGTTTAGTGCTCTCATCACCCACTTCAGGAATTTGCTCACCAAAACTACTGCATCCTGTCAACGTGTTCAGCCAGCTAGGAGAAAGAAGCAGCAGCCCCAGAGACTGCTTTTGGGTTGCAGGGAGATGCAAGTCAGTTACAGGCTCCTTTTCTGTCCAAGTGACTGCTGCTAACAGCATAATCGGCGTTAGTTGGTATGTTTGGAATAGCTGACATGGTGCAAAACATTGCGCGTTTCTGCTGCTGGCTCTTCGTACCATCGCTTTTTAGCCAGAAATACCAGAACTCAAGCATCTGAAAGCCCATGCATTGCCCTGAAGGTAAAGAGCCACGTGTTAAAGTGGTGAACTCATTTTCCTTGTACAAGCTTTGTAGAAATAATCAGAGAATTTTAAGTTAAAACGAAGCTTTACTGCATGCAGCAGTTGTCTCTTACTAGAGCCAAGGCCTTCACCACTTGCAAGCCTGTAAGAGGTGCTGACTATTAATACATCCCTCCTCCAATTACTGTATTTAGTTCATGAAATAATAAACTGTTAGCAGCTGGGAGGGAGTGCTTTCTGCAGAATCCATACTTCGTATTTAATTTTTTGAGCTTAGCCATTGTTGTTTTGAAGATTACTTACAGGTTTTCAAATCCTGCGGTGCCATGTCCTGGCAATAGCAGTGGTCTCCTGTGCTTTTGCTGATGCACAAAGCTTTAAGACAACAAGAAAGACAGAACTGTCACATCTCTGATTTTATTGATGTCATTGTTGAATTGTATGAGTAGGGTTGACCCTGAAAATATTACTGTCAGTGTGCATTAACAAAGAGGAACAGGGTGGACATGAGCAGAGTACTGCACATGAGAAATGTGCTCTTGTACTTGCCTCCATTGCTGAGTTGCTCTTATATTGTCTTGTGTCTGACTGATTCGTTGCTAGGAATGAGGCTTCTCTGATAATTTTTTTTAGCATGGTTTCCCCTGCATACTTGTGTTTTTTGGTTTGTTAGTTCCTGGTGCACAGGAACTATATAAAGTAACTCCAGTAAATGATTTATTCTCTGTATATTGTGAAGAGCATCTAGTACAACTTCCTCTGCCAAGCATTACTTTAATGAAGGGTAGAGCAAAATTGTGGCAGTACCATCATAATCAGGTTTTTGCAGAACTTCAGTTCAATTAAACCATGTTCCTACAGTACCATTATCTCTTACAGTGATAGCTATTGTATTTTTCCAGGATAAACAGTGTATATAATGCTCGTCTGAATTAAATGATCATTTTTTAGCATTTATATAGTCCATTGAAAATGGTCGTCTTGCATAAAAAAAACAAGAACCAAAAAAGCCCCACCACCAAAAAAAACCTTGTTAACTTTGGAGAAGTGTTGTGTTCTGCTTGTTTTCTAAGTTAACCTGATCCTAATCTCTGCCAATCTGTATTATCGCCTTCTTTTTCTAGGATGTTTCTCTTCTGGCAATCCATGCAAGCTTTAATTTGATGACTACCATCACCTTAAAATTGATATTTATTGGATATGAAGCAGCACATCGTCTCCATTACCTTGGGGTGCTCCAGTTAGGAGTGCAGCAGTCTGAGAGAGCTCTCAGCTGAAAAGCTCCTACTAATACCTCGCCCTTGCAGAATTATATCTAATAACCCCTTTCAGCTGCTGAAAGAAACCTTGTTACCGAAAGATAGCTTTTTGTGTGTGTCAACCTGAGTGTATGATTTCATTTGCTTGACTTGTATTTTCACCTGTCAATGATTAAGATTTTTTTCTCTGTTCTTTTTGACTGTGCTGTGACTCACGCATATTTCATGTGGTTGCTGATTATGAGGCACAGAAGCCCGTTGCCTTGGTGGTTCAATTTGCAGTTCCCTGACTTGGTGGAGTACATCTGGAGTGCTTCAGGTGTGGGAGGTTTCTGCCTCGTTTTTACCTCCTTTTTCAGCTGAGCAGCTTCTTTAGAAATTCTCGGTTACTGACCTAAGAAATACCTGCTCTTCTGAAATCTGTGCGTTGGGTTCTGTATCTAATTCAGTCTGTGATTGCATTATAATTAGTGGATGTGAGGGTTTTTTTTTTTTTGACTATGTTTCAAGAAGCGTATCCCTCTGCATCCCAGTTTAGCAGTCAGTTGATGTGATTTATGGTGCGAATTTTAGTGAGTTTGTCTTCTCATTTTTGTCTGCACTTCCTTGGTTGTCAGCTGGATAACTAATCACAGATCACACAGAATTCTTGGCTGCAGAGTCTTGCGTGAGCACAATTTTTTATTTTTTGTTTAACGTGTGGTAAGTTTCATTCTGTTCTGGTATTTGTTTTCTGCTGGTTGAGTACTTGCTGCAGAATGGAACAAACTCCAATTGTTTCACCCCTTTGTTTTCTCTCACCCTTTAGACATAGTATTAAAAGACAAATGCTTTTGTTGCAGTGGACACTTGCTCTTTAGTGTGGAAAAACACTGTCCTGTGACTTAAAAAATATATATAAATAAGGAAATTAAGTGCCTTCAGAGCTTCTGGAAAGCTCTCTTGGAAAAGACAAGGTGTTCAGTGCTTGCAGAAAACCTTTTACACCGCTATCTTAAGATACTAAACATGATATCCACTCGTAACTAGGGCACGTTTCCAAGTACGAAATTAAAGGTCGGTAGCTAGTTGCTTTGTGCACTGTAAGATCATAAACAAAATTAATCCTTAACAGAAGATGTGTTTTTCAGCAATAAATTTGTGAATTAATGGTATTGTTTTAGACAGAAATATTAACAGTACGAGGTTGATAATATTTAACTTACACATAATTGTGTGACTGCTTAATCCATTCGTGTTACCACTGAGATCATATTCTCACCCTTCCAAAATTCCCTCACAGGTTTTATTTTAAATATTACAAATGCTTTACTAGCTGTTAGTAATGACTGAGATCATTGGGAGAAAGGTTTCCTAAACGTCATAACTGAGGGCAAAATTGCAAGATAAACCTTACAGCTTCCAGTGTTGCTCTTTCTGCTGCTGGTTGAAGTTATAGACATTCAGGTTATTAGTCACTTATTAAAAATAAATTATGTTTCGGGAGAAGAGGGCAAGAGCAAGAAAATGGTGCTGAAACGGTACAAGTCCACCTGAATGCCTGTCACTCAGCCCTAAGTGAGGGCACTTGCCCTTGCTGGATTTGCAGAAGTGTAATTGAAGAGGGAGAAGAGGCAGAGGAGATGTGTTTTCATAACCTGCTCCTCTCCTACCCTCAACACTTGGGACCCTGGTAAACAGCGAACAGAACATTTTTATTTCCTTAATTTTGTAATGGTGTCAAAGGGAACTTCGGAAGGCTGTAGGGAGTGTCTCTGCTGCTCTTCACAATACTGGCAACCGACGTACAGGCTCACATGGGTAAATACAGGTCTTCTCTTTCATGCTGACCAGATCCGGGAAATGCTGGCACCCAAGGTGAATTTCTTGCGAAGGGTGTGAAAGCAGTGTTGTAACAGAAAAGGTTTTATTGCTGCAGCTGTTGCTGCGGTTGTGAGGTGAGCGCTGTGGCAAGTGCAGAGGTTGCATGACGGATGTGCTTTGTGTTTGCTCTCCTCTCACTGCGCTGATTTGCAGAGAAATGCCTGCGGAAAAAGAGAATCGCAGCACAGGCTGAACATCGCAGTGGAAAGTGGGAAGCCTGACAAGGATTTGGCAAGAACCCGTGGCTACATTACATCCACTCCGTCCTGTCGTCCCCTTAAAACGCTTTGTTCCTCTGCACTGGAGATGATTTATGAGTTTTCCACCTACAGATTTTGTTCACTCATAACCTAGCTGCCTGCTGCCTTCCCAGACAGCAGAGGCAGCTGCTCATTGCATGTTGACATGTTTCCTCTCTAGCAGAAGTGCAAGGGCAGCTCTTCCTCTGTGCCACTGGAGCTGGCTAATTTGCTTTTAATATACCCCCATGGCTTGTTGCTGAAAGACAAAAAAAAAAAAAAAAAACCCCAAAACTAAGTCTGACATTAGTGATAAGAATGTGAAAATGCCTAATTACTTTCCTGGATGAAAAAGACCCAATAAAAAAATAAAACCTCTTAATGGCTTGGATATTCCTCTTCTAGAGAAGCTTCATCTTGATATGTTTTTGTTTTTTTATTTTTTTTCCCCATAGAAACTCTCACCATCTATGATTGTATTTCATTTGACTTTACGATGAGCACTAATGTTATGCGCGATGTCTGAGTGAAGGAAGGGGCTGGAGATGATTCCTTCCAGCACCCGTTCCCATGAGAGCTGTGCTCGTGGTGCCCCTGCTGCTCTCCAGCACCACCTCAATCGAGTGCCAGCAGTGCGGGGACCCATGCGGCTAGGACCCAAGTGAGGGGTTGCAGCCTGTCACTGCAGGCTTCTTCCCTGGGTTGCACTGCCCAGGGTGCACAAGGCCATAAAATTTTGGGAGGGGAGTTTAATAAAATGGTTGCTCTCTTTTGATGTTGCCTGGCATGCATTTCTGTCCTTCTGCAGCTGGGGCGGTGCAGTTTTGCTGCTGTGAAGCAACTGGTTTTGAATTCTTCGTAAGCATGTTAATGTTTGAAGAACCTCAGATGTTTCTGACATCTTTGTGAACGTGTAAAATAATGCTTTGAAAAATAGAATTGGTTTGGATGAAGGTTTCCAGTATTTATTTTTTCAGTTTGAGCTATATATTTCCACAACCAAATGTTCCCAGTGTTTTAGCTTGGCAGAAACATTAGCTTTATCAAGGCTTTAAATGATTTAGGAGTTAATCATCATAAGAATTTCCCTGTGGCATGGATAAAAGACTGCATTTTTCTAACTTTTTAAGCAAATTCAAACTTGCTAGAGCTCTGAACTTTACTGTTTTTATTAATTAATCTTTTTAGTTAATGCTGGTTTTATTGATTGCTACAATTTTTATTAGTTGTTGTGAGGATTGTTTGATTATAAAAACTGCTGTATCATTATATGCATCATATCTACAACTGTAGATGTCCTTCAGTTCTGTTTTGCAGAATCCTCGTAACAAGAGTGCAATCTGGAAAACTGTTTTAAATCATACAATTTTTGATTTTTCTAATAAATCTTGTAGCTGTAGGTTAGTTATCCACAGGGCAGTGGTCACAGCATTGAGTTGCTGGAGTTCAAGAAGCATTTAGACAATGCTCTCATATATTTGGTTTGATTTTGTGTGGTCCTGTGTGGAGTCAGGAGTTGGACCTGATGATCCTTGTGGGTCTTGTCCACCTTGGGATATTCTACAGTTTACAAATCTCTGGGTTAGTTTTGCTCAGGCTCGTGCTTCTGTAGTCTCCTGATGACAGTGCCTTTGCTTCTTCTGGGCCAGTGCTGTAGGGAGTGCCTTATAAAGCCTGGCCATCACTCGAGCAGATTAGAGCACGATGTATTTAAAGCTAAATATAGAAGAAGGCAGATCCTGTGTTCCTAGTAATTAACTGTTCAAGAGTCTCTTCTGTTGCACTGAACCTCTAGTCATTAAATCTGCCACGAGTTACAAGTCTTACTTTTAACTGTTTTTTCTTTTTTTTTTCTCATTCCCAGCTGTCTTAAAGGGCATAATTTATATTCACAGGAAACAGCGTTAAAATCCAGTAGTCAACCTTAAGGTGCATGCAACTCTTCTAGCAGTTTAAAAATACACTGTGTCAAAGGAGAGAAGTCTAGTGCTAGAAGTTGAACCTATGCATTTCTAACTTTTACAGCAAGTGGAAAAATGTACTGGTAGTGCTAGGATGAGGTCAGGTGCCTTTGTTCATTTCTTTGCCCCCAAAGCTTCTATTTTTTTTCGTAAAGGAAGTAGTAGGCAGTGTTGATGCTAGCCCAAAGACACATTTGTGCTCTGTAAGAACTGAGACAGGTAAGACCTAATCTTCCTATTGCGTGGCTTGCATGATATTTTACAGACCCCATGCCCGCAGGGTTTGAATCTATTGAAGCTAACAATTTTGGCCCCAGAGCAAGAGATAAGGCATCACAGGCAAAGCATAAAAAAAACAAAAAAACAACAGACAATCTTGGAGATACTATACCTTGCAGTGTCTTTTACAAATAATAGATGACCACAAAGGTAAAGTATATAAATATGTCACACCTAGCCTGGCAGTGGCTGGAGGCTGGGCTGTTGCTCATTGCGGGTGTCTGCTGGATCACCTGCCTAATGGACTTGAAAAGCACCTCCTGTTTCTTGGTTGCTGAGACAGCTACATGGGGGAAAGAGATGCTTGAGCTCTGTGTGAAGAGAAGCTTGGATCCTGTAGCATTTTTGAAAGATCCTGTGGTATCATGGTTTACCTTTTTAACTCTCCTTGCAGATGTGTGAAATCATTTTTTCAGAAGGCCATTTAGTGGTGCGGTTGTTTTGAAACGCTCTTAGTCTGCTAAAGCGGTGGCTTTAAATTGTGGTTATGAATGCGGGCCTCTCGGTGTAACTCTTGATTTTTATTTTTTATGACTTGCAAGAAACAAAACCAACCTGGACTGTGAACTTGACTTGGCACTTCCCAGTGCGTGCTGGCATTTTCTGACTGTTAATAAATCGTAGACCTAGACTAGAAAGCAGCGGTTTGCCAAGTTACACATTTGAAACACTGCTAAAGCGTCCAGCTAGTGACATTGCAACTGGATGAGACAGTCTGGTGAATGGGAACGCGTTATACAGTTAGAGCGCTGTTAACAGAGTTAA